GGGACATCAAGGGCCCTATAAAGTAATTAAATATGTGAGAGATAGATTCTTTTGGAAAGGATTAACAAAAGACATTAAAAAGCAATTAAGGGTGTGTCATTTATGCCAGTTATCAAAGAAAAGTAATATAACATATGTGGGTCCATGCAAATCTATAATAACAGAAAATATCGGAGACATGGTTATGGCTGACTTATATGGACCATTGGCATCAGGTACCTTTGGGTACACTTTCATATTTGTTATACAAGATTCATTTAGTAAATTTATCAAATTATATCCTTTAAAATAATCAACAGCAAAGTGTGTTGTTACGAAAGTAAAGCATTTTGTTCAGATTATAAAGCCCAAAGCAATGACAGATAATGGGCAGCAGTTTATAAGTAATCATTGGAAACGATCAATGAAAGAATTGAATATTAAACCGATATATACCACAGTAAGAAATCCTAGGCCAAATACAACAGAGCGTGTAAATAGAGAGTTGAGCAGATTATTCAGGACACTTTGTCATGCTAACCACAAAGATTGGGCAATAATATTGCCTAAAATAGAAGAATTGTATAATAATTCATATCACAATAGTACAGGATTTACACCATGTGAGATTCTTTATGGCGAATCTAATTAAATGTCTTTCGACAAGATAATATTTAATAGTAAAAACAAACACAGTGTCGAACAGATTAGACAGCAAGTGCGAAAGAATTTAAAAGAGGCAAGCCGCATTAGAAACACAAAATTTGATAAGAGCAACAGATTAGTGACATATCATGTTGGCGATTTAGTAAAAGTTTCAAGATCTAGTAGATCAGATGCAGATAACAAAGTTATGAGTAAATTTAATTTGGCGTATGAAGGGCCATATATAATAGCAGCCGTACCATTTGACAATGTATATACTTTAGCAAACCCAGAAACAAATGAAATTAGGGGAAATTTTAATGCTATTCATTTATTAAAATATTTTAAATAATAGGTTTGGCTTATATACATTCTAGAATAAATACTGTAATATAATTTGGTCCCGTGGGTGGCCGTTTGGAAAAAAAATATAGATTAAAATTATTAAAGTTATGAGCAAAACACAAATTAATTAAAAATAAGAAAATGTTGTAATAATTTTATTAACAACTATCTGTAAATATAGATTGTAAGATAATTTTGTAAAATATGTTTTATTAAATAAATTTGGGGAGTTGGGTCAGGGTGAATGGCTCAATCACATTTATCCTGTGGGTGTGTAGCATCTGATTTTAACTCATAATCAAAATACTGTACATATAAAGAAAGCATTGCTGAATTTATATTTTAAAGATTTTAAATGTAAGTCAAAAACTAAAGAGAACCACTATATTAACAACATAAATACAATACGTTTATCAAGATAACGATTTATGGTTTATCGCATTGGGATAGATGTGGTTGAAGGGGTGTGTGGCGGCGGCCATTCCCTGGGGTAGGTGGGATGAAAATATACACTGAATTGTAACAGATTGAAAGAGGAAAGAACAGATACACATAAGTTCAAAATTTTGAGTGTAGTGCATATGCTCTCAATATAGTAAAATTTTGTATCAACGACTCCACTGTGTGGGTCATTAACATAAAATTTGGGGGTGGATTGTGACGGCCCAATATTATTATTAATAATTAAATTCAATATAAAGGGGCGTCAAAAATAGTCTTAAAAGATATATATTAAGCAATTAAGTTAAATTAATAAACATAAAGTTAATATATTTCAGACATTATCCCAATAACATAGTAAATTAAAGGCAAAATTATTGTTTTCGTAATAAATAAATTTATTTAAAAACTTGAAAAAATATTTAAAATAAGATAAATAATAGAAATACAAGTCAAAAAATATTATAAAATTAAGTTAAATAACGTTTATAAGATAATTAGAAAATTTGTTAAAAATTGTTTAAGTCATGGGAGGTGTTCGTGTATAAAAGAAATTTTTTCCATTCCTAAGTTATGGAAGGTGTTCACGTATAGATGTCTTGTATGGAGGAAGCTGCCGGAGGTACCTACCTGCAGTTGTACATATATATGGGGTGGTCGGGAGCCCGACTGCCTGAAGTACTGTAGCACAATGACTAGTCCTATATTAGGGACTTATGATATTAAACTCAATGATACAAAAGCAATACTAAAGAAGGTCTCCATGATGAATTTGCATTACAATAGTAGGGTCGTGGGTTCGAACCCTATATATTAATGACTTACGAAAGTAAGGTCTATGATCCAAAAGCAATACTATAGAAGGTCTCTATGATTAATATGCATTACAATAGTAGGGTCGTGGGTTCGAATCCTATATATGAATGACTTATGAAAGTAAGGTCTATGATTCAAAAGCAATACTATAGAAGGTCTCTATGATTAATATGCATTACAATAGTAGGGTCGTGGGTTCGAATCCTATATATACATGACTTATGAAAGTAAGGTCTATGATACAAAAGCAATATTATAGGAGGTCTCCTTGATGCATAAGCATTGTATGGGGTGGTCGGGTGACTGACTGCTCCTAGTACTGTAGCAAAATGACTAGTCCTTATTAGGGACTTGAAAAGGAATATTATGGTGGCGTGTGTGCTGCTTCACGAGCAATTGGTCCGAGGTAAACTTGGACTCGCTAACCGATGTGTCCTAGACATATCATCTTAGTGCCGGTGGTAAGCGGGTTTGTTGTAGCAATACGGCTCTCCCGTGGACATCGCACACCCATACCGTTTGTGGGCGACGTCGTAGCGCATAGCGATGCGTCGTCTATCTTTCGGATTGGGATGATGAGTGTGTTTGGTAGCACTTTTAAGTGTAACAGGCATACTCAACTTCATGTCTTAGTGCATTAACGCTATGATACGTGGAGTTTTGTTCATTGGCGTCTTAGTAGCGTGCTACTATGATACGTTGGTGATATTTTTTATATAACAACAATAAAAACTTTGTTGCCAAAATCGATAGGAGTCATGTGGGTGTGTTGTGAGGGGGCGCCACCCGTATGATAGTTGCATTGATGCTTACTGCTACTTGCGGTATTGCGTCTTGTGATGGATCTGCGGGTGTGCTGCGCCTGATTCGACGCATTCCTGTGGTTCTGGTCGATGGAGGTATACAATTAACATCTTAGTGCCGGCGGTAAGCGGGTTTGTTGTAGCAATACGGCTTTCCTGTGGACATCGCACACCCATACCGTTTGTGGGCGATGTCGTTGCGCATAGCGATGTGTCGTCTATCTTTCGGATTGGGATGATGAGTGTGTTTGGTAGCACTTTTAAGTGTAACAGGCATACTCAACTTCATGTCTTAGTGCATTAGCGCTATGGTACGTGGAGTTTTGTTCATTGGCGTTTTAGTAGCGTGCTACTATGATACGTTGCTGATATTTTTTATATAACAACAATAAAAACTTTGTTGCCAAAGTCGATAGGGGTCATGTGGGTGTGTTGTGAGGGGGCGCCATCCGTATGATAGTTGCATTGATGCTTACTGCTACTTGCGGTATTGCGTCTTGTGATGGATCTGCGGGTGTGCTGCGCCTGATTCGACGCTCTCTTGTGGTTCTGGTCGATGGAGGTATACGGGTGGTGATGTCCGCTGGGATGTATGGGGGACCTTGGAATGGTGTAAGCCCGACGATAGTCGTATTGATGCTTGTTGCGTTCTGCAGCATTGCGTCTCTGCGATGGTTGTTTGGTGGGACGCTATTCTCAATGGCGCTCTCTGCGTCTTGGTTTGACTCACGCCTGAGTAGCTTTGCCCAAGTCGGGTCCCTTCATTACGGGGCTGCAGACTGTCTGCCCTCCACAATGTTTTATATAACAACATAATATTATATCTCTGTAACTTTCCCACCTTTGAATGATTGAAGGCAACTTGTTGGTGGGTGAGACAAACATGATCGAAAATGCATTTACTCAACGTCAGTGACACAAACCCTTTCTGATGGCGAATTATTACTCTTATCTTATAACTGCCTTTTGGCTATATCTGCCGTTGTATTGGTTGGTGGAGCATATGTGTCGACCTCATGCGGGTGGTAGCTGGCGGGAGGATCTGAGGAGACTCTCAAGGCTGCGGCCGAAAGCCGCACAACGTGGGACCCCATTCCCTTGAGGTGAGCGGTAGACTCATGACAGGCTCTGCGGCTAGTAGCCGTGCTGATCATGCAATTGGTGGTGATGCCATACACTTACATCACGTCTGCAGGAGCGGCGGTCTGGCAGGTGGTGGCGCTCACGGAGGGTTTACGGCCAGTGTGCCTATTTGCCTAAACCGTGTGACGTACATTCACTGTGGCTGGATTCGTTCGTATTCTGTTTGGCGTTTACACGCATTGACATGCGCGACTTCGGTCGATGTTTGTGCTTACGCACTAGCAAGGGGCCAAGCCTCTTTTACTGGTTCGCCAGTTATTTTGCTGTGGACTACGGTCCAGTTCCCGAATTAGCGTTCCCTTCGGGGGGAGTGCATCAAAATGGTTGGCACTCACCGTGCACGGCGTGTGTGGGGCCGTATACCTCCCCCTACATTTTTTTAAATAAATGTAGGAGAGCGAAGCCCTTGTATCGGGTATTTTGTATAAATATATTTTGAGCCTTTTCCGAGCGGGAAGGGATAATTAATAATGTAAACCTGATGCAAGTGGAATAGGGACGTTTTATGTTCTTAATCTTTTTCGAGCCCTGTCTTCGTGAACGGGGTTCACTTAGCTTATAAGGCACTACCAACAGCTTTCAATTGCTCTAGTGAATATTCATTCTTCCAAAAGACACCTAAAAGAACTAAGTTACTAAACAAACACAACGTAAATAAGGGTCCTAACTAAGACGATCACGCCAAAATATTAAAACCGGCCTATTAATAAACCTTTTGAAAGATCATTTAGAAAGATCAAAATATATTTTATTTATCCTGGTCACATATATATAAGTTTTAATATAAAGCGGAATATAATACATTTAGTATTTTATATATTTATTACTATGAGAGGGGGGAAGCGTTACAATAACTTCAAATGGAAAATATTCTTTTCTGCTGACTACAACTACAGTTATAACGATTTCCTCGCATCTGTTTCTCCTCAAGTTGAAATTGAGGACATGGGGAATGGAAGTAAAAAAATAACTTTCGATCAAGGTGATGGTGATATCGGTGACACTAATAGAGTCAACACGGACTATCAGAAAATATTCACAAAAGAGGAACAACCCGAAAATCCAAAAGGGCAAGTAAGTGAAACTAAGGCAGAAGTTAACACATCACACATAAGGCTCTTCCCTCTCGGATGTTGCACTGAGCGATCGTGTTCACTAGAAACTTGTATTTAATTTTTAAAAGTAAATAAAAATAAATATTCTATTAAAATTCCGTTTCGAGTACTAGGCGAACATAAATAACGCGCGACTTTACGGCGAGTGACGGTAGCGCTAAGTGTGAACGGGACTACCACCTGTAGGACGAAGATAACGAGATATATGCAAGAACTGCTTTCGCGCAACCTGACCGGCTAGCCCTGCCAACCAATCAATCGCACACGCAACTCCTCCTACCTGGGTGATATCACGCGCTGTTATCGGTCGCTCCGCCTGCTACACAATACGCATTCCCGTCGGCTTTTATATCGCATTTAGGCCCACGCACATAGTTACATAATGTCGGTTCAGAGGACACCTCCGTCTACAACTTCGAGGGAAAATAATCTACAGCAGCAATCTGATGCGAGCGACGGTATGGGGCTTCAGGCTGAAGACTTGATGGATACACAGTATGAACATACTCCCCCCAGCTATGTCTTTCTTCGTAATAATAGAAGACCAAGAGAGGATGAATTCTCGCCGTCTCAGTTTCTTGATTTTAAACAGGAGATGACTAGACTCATTACGTCATTTATTAGTGAGCAAAAAAACTCACATTTGGAAATCACGAACACACTTAAGTCCCTCCAACAAACTTCTTCAAACATTGAACAGTGCGTATCTCTCTTAACTCTGCAAAATGGGGAATTCCAAAAGAAAATTGAGAAACTGGAAGCTCAAGCAAAAAAGGATCGCGAGTACATAAATATACTTGAAGACAAAATTGAAGATCTCCAAAGGACGTCACGCAAAGCTAGTCTAGAGCTAAAGAATGTTCCACGTAAACCCTCTGAGACCAGGGATGATTTAATAAATATGATAACTTCCCTATCGAAAAATATCAGTCTTGATTTGTGTGCGCGGGATATTAAGGATATTTTCAGAATTAGACCACGTAATGACAGGGAGAAAAATTCCCCCATAATACTGGAACTAGGATCCACGATCTTGAAATCTGAAATACTAAAAAAGTCTAAGGAGTTCTACAACAAAAATAAGTGCAGATTACAAGCAAAACACCTAGGCATTACTTCGAGCGAGGACACGCCTGTTTATGCATCAGAGCAGCTCACCGCTAAGGGTGCCCGACTATTCTTCCTGTCTCGGGATCTCGCCAAATCCAATGGGTATAGATACTGCTGGACTGCGTTTGGAAAAGTTTTTGTGAGAAAAGATGATACATCTAAGATTATATGCATCCAGAGCGAGGCACAGGTGCACCAACTTCTTCAACAAAAATGACTATATTCAAACGATCCAGTGGCGACTTCTCTCTGCTTTATTCAATATGCATATTATTATATTGTTCTTGGTAAGATAACCGTTGTAAACTGTTCATCTCCTGTTAGCGCAACTTTCATTTGCACACATATACCTCTGGTCTCAAAAACTGTAAAAATACAACAACCAAATACACCTATATACAATACCACACACTCACACCTCATAAACACGTTATTTACACATTTACAAAAAACTACACCCACAGTACAAACACATAACATACTACAACAACCATTCACTCTTACATCCTACAATGTTAACAACCTACTCATATTGATGAAATCTACCTATTCTCGTGCCTACTTGCAAGTGTTATTAACAAGCTTTTTCTTCACTCACTCTATTTATTAACCTCTGCAGTAACTTACTCGGTACTTACTCTTTTTTAAATGGATAGCCAGCTCACTAACCAGGAACTAGACTGCATGCAAATAACACACTCGATAAAATGTAATATAGAAGATTTAACTTACCGTGGCAACCCACCTTCGTGGTTCCTTCCGTAATAATCTATTTATTGTAACGCAAAATATGGCTAGTATCTATAAGAACCTCGACGACCTTTTGGTTACCCTATCTGTGTTGAACTTTGAAATTGACGTTCTAATACTTACTGAATGCAGATTAGACTTTAAGAAACCAATACCATTTTTAAATAATTACACCTCCTACCAATCAAGTAAACTTTTAAATCAGAATGATGGGGTAGTACTTTATATCAAAAACAATCACCGAGCTAAGGTTATTGACCTTCACCTCTCTGACGCTACTGGGCTACAAATAGAGATTGATAAATATGTCTTGCTGGGTATATACCGTTCCCCCTCTTTTCTCAACGCCGATAGTTTTACTAGTTCTCTCGACTTACACCTGGAAACTATTAGTCATCATTAAAATGTGTCTGTCATAGGTGACATAAATATTAACCTGCTTCCCGTAGCTACAGAGCAGCCTCAGTATCGCCGTAATAGACTCAGCTACTTAGAAGTATTATCCCTGCATGGCCTATTGCCTGGTCACACTTTACCTACGAGAAAGAGATCCTGCCTTGACCATGTAATGATAAAACTTGAAGTCAACCTCATTGCAGCTTTTATTGCCGTTCTTAACACGACGGTCACAGATCACAATCTTGTGTTGCTTCAGTTATCTAAAACATCGACCCAAAAAGCCCCCATTAAGTCGAAGTTAATTACAGATTTTGATGGCGCATATAATACCCTCATATCGACGAGTGTCCCACTTTCAGAAATGCCAAATAGCCCTGAAGAATTTGCCAACCACTTTATTAATATACTTAAGTACGCTATCCATCAAAACTCTAAATTAACCCACTCTTCTAACAGTAAAAGGACATTAAAACCCTGGATAACTCCCGGAGCTCTGTATAAGGCTAAAAAATAAATTGCAACAAAAGGTAGAAAATGACCCACACAATATAATCTTAAAAATAACTTACAAACGTTTTCGAAATTTCTGTTCCAACCTTATTAAAAAACTTAAACGACAGCATCATGGAGAACTTATTAAAAAATCTGCCAATAACCCCCGTAAGTTCTGGAAAACAGTTAATGAGATCACTAGGTACAAACCACCTAAGTCAAATAATATAGCCCTAATTAACTTAAAACCGCTACCACTAGATTCATTGAACTCTGTCAACAACTACTTTGCCTGTATAGGTACTAGCTTAGCTGAAACAATTACAACAAATTCAGGTACTAGAAGTAGTGTATTAGTAGCCCCTACCACTAATTATACACAAACCTCGTCCTTCGTCCTGCTAAACACTGACGACAAAGAAGTTGAGCGCATCTTGATGAGTCTAAACTCAGGGAGCTCACCTGGATGGGATGGTATCAGCACTGGTTTTTTAAAGCATGCTAGAGCCTTTGTTGTACCGTATATACGTAACCTTGCAAACCTTTGCTTTAGTACTGGTGTCTTTCTCAGCGCCTTAAAGAGGTCTATAGTAACCCCTGTGCATAAGAGCGGGGACAGAGAGGATGTAAGCAATTATAGACCTATCTCTGTCCTCACCTCCATCTCCAAAATAATTGAAAAGTTGCTCAACAACAGATTGGTTGATTACCTAAATAAATTTAAACTACTATCCAATTCTCAGTATGGTTTCAGAAAGGGTCTTTCAACTCAAGATGCTATTCTGGATCTCACTTCAACTATAGTTGGTGAAGTGGACAATGGCAGCAAATGTCTTACAGTCTTTTTGGACTTGAAAAAGGCTTTCGACACCGTCTCTCTGCCTATTCTTATATACAGGCTAGAATGCTTAGGTATTAGGGATACTCCACTCATGTTTTTTAAAAGTTACCTACAGGAAAGAACTCAGGAAGTAAAAATAAATGACTTATACAGTGAGAAAGCCACTACTAGTTTTGGAGTCCCACAGGGTAGTGTCCTGGGCCCGACTCTCTTTTTAATATACATAGATGATCTATGTAATCTAAGGGATGTCGGGTGCAGAATGTACTCCTACGCGGATGACACTGCGCTTGTTTTTACTGGTAGCACCTGGAATAATGTCCAAGAAAGTACTGAGAGGGGATTAATTAACGTATATAACTGACTTAGAGACAACCTTCTTACCTTGAACACTCAGAAAACTAACTACATCTGCTTCACTCCTTCAAATCCCAACCTAACCATAACTTTGCCATTAAAATTCACACTTGCTCTAACCCTGGTAACCTGATTTGCGACTGTCCTATTATTGAAAAAGTTAGCCAAACTAAATACCTAGGTATAATGCTGGACCAACGACTTAGCTGGCACCCACATTTGGAGCTTTTAACAAACCGCACTAGGAAACTCATATGGGTATTCAAATCACTACGGCGGGTCATGTGTAACAAACTTAAAAACCGAATCTACGTGGCCCTGGCCCAATCGGTGCTCACCTACTGTATCTCGATTTGGGGAGGAGCAGACAAAACTCACTTCTTTGCACTCGAAAGAGCCCAGAGATCACTTATCAAAGTCATCTACTCCAAACCTTATCGTTTTCCCACTGATAAACTATATAGAATGAGTGGCCTACTCACAGTACGAAAACTCTATATTCTGAATCTCATCTTAACGTGCCATAAATCTCTACCTTATGTCGACCTAAGTCATAAAAGAAGGATGGATGTCGTTGCACCCGTCACTGCCGCACGTACTGCGTTCGCTAGAAGACAATATAGTAGGCAGTCTGCTTATATATACAACAAAGTAAACAGTATACTTAAAATATACCCCATGTTATCTTACACTTGCAGGAAAACTGTAAAAGAATGGTTGGATTCACTTAGCTATGAAGATGTTGAAAACCTTTTCATAAGAATTTGTTAAAATGTTTGGTTCAACTAAAGCTGGTTTCTGTATGCGGAGTGTTCATACCGATCCCAAGGAACCTTATCCGTAGGGCATACATGTAACCAACACATGCACACATGCACACTCCCATACAGACACGAGCTCGTATACACACATACATACACTCATTCACACACTACATGCACATATACATGTACACACACACGTACACACACACACACACACACGCACACACACACACACACACACACACACACACACACACACACACACACACACACGCACACACACATGTACATTTTATATACTACCATACATGCTTACATGAAAATAGTTCATTGCCACTAGAGCCGCAATTTAAATTTAAATTTGAATTATATCAAAAATATTATATTTCAATGTAAAAAAAAATGTAAACCATACCATTCTAAACTAACCTTTTAGATATAATATACCTTTTTTTTTATAGAATAGGGTGACAAACGAGCACACAGTCCACCTGATGGTAAGTGGTTGCTGCGGCCCATAGACATCTACATCTATCCTCCATTAAAAATCAAAATGCAGATGCGTTGTCACCCGTGAGCACTGAGATGGAATGCCTCGTTTCCAGTAAAAAGGGTCTCCGGTTCTCTACACTCACCATACGAAATACAGCAGCATTAAGCTACTATTTCACGCTGGTATTCTGTGAGAGCGTGGTCCTTCCCCGGTCGAGCCGACCCATTCGTGCTACAACTATACTACTAATATAACTGCAGCATGGCTCTACCACGTAAAAAACCTACCTAGTTTATCTTATTTAGCCAACCGTAAGGGAAGTAGCGATTTATTCCCAACACAAGTGTCTCTGACTACTTAAAGGGAAGACTCGACAAATCTTTGTAATAGGATTTTTGGAAATAAAAGAAATTTTTAATTTTAATTTTTTTTAACATAAGTCACAATACTACTAATGTTGTTGCACAAGCTGCTGAAGAGAAAACTGTATCAACAACAATAGTGAAATGCAGTCTGATCAGCCACAAATTCCAAGAAGGGCAAAAATGTCATCTTCAGTGGAGGAGAAAGAGAACGTATTGAAAGATACAATCTTGAAAATAGAAAAGAGCTATGATCAAGGTTCAGAAGGAAAACACAAGGCAAATGTAAACATAGATTATAATGATGTGAAAGCCTTGTATGATATGGCAACAGGGGAAGATAAAGGCTATGTGTTAGAGTTTTGGAACAAACTGCACGCACCACATTATAAGGTTGGTGCTTTGCCGGAAGACAAATACTATTTTGAAAAAGGCAAATTCGTAATCCACGATAGTGGCACAAAGAAACTTATAGTATTACCTTAAGATAAGGTATCCATCAAAATAATGAAGGATGGTGATAGTTATAGTTTAGCTATATCAAGTGGTAATGGCAAAGTAATAAGCAGCATTAGTAAAATAGATAATCCAAATTACGAATTGCTGTCAGATTCAAGTCATTTCAATTTAGGAGAGCAAGATAATATTGTATTATCAGATCAACAGCACGAATATAATCTTTATCTAGAGAATGGCTTTGTGAAAATGTTTGATTACACAAGCAAACACATTTATCACGACCACAACTCAGCCTACATCTAATACATACAAGGAGGCAAGTATAGCTGACCCAAGCAACACGTCATACCGCGATTCATTCGCGGTATCTCTTAGCCGCTAACAACAAGTAGCGGGATGACAGCAGTCCTGCGTCATACCACCGCGAACCGTCATACTGCAGCGTTATCTCTAGATCACACTAACAAGTAGCGGGATGACTGTTGTCAGTCTAGCTGTCATGCGAGTAGCCCCTTCGGTGTCATCCCAGTGCCCAGACACTGGGATCCAGAAAACTTAACTTTAAATAAGTGGCTGAATCTGGGTCACGCGCTGGAATGACAGATCCGAGTAGCCCCTTCGGTGTCATCCAAGTAGCTTGACACTGGGAATTTATTTACTATATATGAAAAGTTATTATGTTTATATACTTACAAGCAAGCACAATAAGGCTATGTATATAGGTATAACGTCAAATTTAACTAAACGAATTTGGGAACATAAAAATAAAGTTATTTCTGTCTTTACATCAAAGTACAATGTGCAAAAATTAGTTTACTTTGAGGTATTTCAAGATGTAGGTTCAGCTCTGAATAGAGAAAAACTTTTGAAAAGCTGGAAAAGAGAATGGAAAATTGATTTAGTTGAAAGGGAAAACCCAAATGCTCATTTGTATGATGAAATTACAAAATAAAATGAGATCCCAGTGTCAAGCACTGGGATGACAGGAGAGGGGACTGGAACGACAAGAGAAGAATCCTGAAACGACAAACCTCAAAAAAACTTATGTAAAATCTAGCATTAAAGAAAATTATACTATTTTCATGCATGCTATGGTTTTTATAATTAACAGAGAGTTATATGGTTGCTAGTTTAAGTTTTCAAGATAGTGCAAATGCACCAGTAGTAAATGCTAATATTAAAAAGTTTATGAAGATAGTACAGATAGTAAGTATACCTTAGTTGGAACAGATCTGATATCAGGAATAAAGGCTAAGACTGATAAGCTAAGACTGATAAGCTAAGACTGATAAGCTAAGACTGATAAGCTAAGACTGATAAGCTAAGACTGATAAGCTAAGACTGATAAGCTAAGACTGATAAGCTAAGACTGATAAGCTAAGACTGATAAGCTAAGACTGATAAGCTAAGACTGATAAACTAAGACTGATAAGCTAAGACTGATAAGATTACAGATACCTTAGGAGCTGATGTTACTGCTGTAAAGACTAAGACTGATAAGATGCCTGCTGACTTAAACGCTGAGTTAATGAAGTTAACTACAATAGGAAGTGCTATAAATAGTAGTGGTAGCGTCACTGAAGCTGCTAAAACTGTACTAGAAAACAATTTCAAGCAAGCTATTGAAAAAGCTGCAGGAACAGTTAATGATTGGCTTGAAAGGAGAGTGACAGATATAGTGTCACAAACGAAATTTGATATTCCAGAAAGTAATGATGCTGCACTTAACTGGACTTGGTAATACAGCAAGTATTCACGCTACTTGGATGACATCTAATACCCCACAATGTCATTCCAGCGCGTGACGCTGGAATCTAGGAAAGTTTGCTTGTAAGCAAGCAAACTTATTTGGTGAGTATAAAAGCATAGCTAACGCGAGCTCTACGCCATACCGCCACGGTATCTCTCAGCCGCTGACAAGCAGCGGGATGACGATTGTCAGGGTGTCATCCCAGTGCCTCTCTATAATGTCATCCCAGTGCGTGACACTGGGATCTCATTTCACTCTATAATAGCAGTGCTCCTTTCTTGTTATCACAGTACTGATAGCTATAAAATTTAAGAAATTTACCAAATGAAAAAAAGACAAAAGAAGCCCCGTAGTTGGCTAATTACTTACATTATACTTTCAAGTATGGCGTTTTTTATTCTAAACGCTTAATAACCGCGATTTAGCTGCTTTTTAATGCAACTAACCTTTAGTCATAAATGTTTAAGAAATTTGCTAAACAGAAAAAAAGGCAAAAGAAACCCCAGGGTAGCTAGTTATTCACTATCCTTTTTTAAGTTGGCGTTTTTGATGTTTTAAATGCTTTATAAGCGTATTTCAGCTTGTATAGGTAAAAACCTAGAAATTTGGTAAAGAAATAGAGTGCATATAGTGCAAAAAATTAAACATTAGAAGCCAAATAAGTTAAGTTTTTTTGTCATTTAATCTGTACAGAGAAGATAAACAAATATCTTCAATATCATGATAAGGGGCTGGAGGAGTTTGTCAAGTAAGTTTTTTCGTTTCTATGTTGCCAGCTACTTGCATGACACTATTTGTTGTAAACCCACTTTTTCTTGATTTTTTAGTTTATCTTATCTACCTATTTTGCTACTCTGCTAAACGGATACCTACTGAATAACAGTAAGATTTTTCAATCCTGTTCCACAGCACATTTTAATGACATGTGAGTAGTTATAGTGCTATTAACAATCAAAACGACAAAAATTAACATGGTGATTAGTAGTATATAAATATTCAAGGACAAATTTTCAAATTGAGTTAGCATTTTAAAATACACAAAGGTTGGCATTATCATTGGCAAAACAAGGATTTGCGATACTCCTGATTCTAAGTTGTTTCGACCAATCATCAATGCATTTCCAGTAGCTGAAATATTAATGATTATCAGCGTATTAAATAATAAAGACACTCCAACTGCTATTGAGTGTTCAATACTATTGCCTAGAACTGCAAAGCTGAATATGGAAGAAACCACTGAAATCGGTAGCCCAAATAATAACCAGTGAGCGAAAATTTTATAAGCAACTATAAGCCTAGAAGAGAGTGGCAGTACAAAGATTTGCTCTAATATTCCATCACGATAATCAGATGTAAACAAATTATTTTGTAGAGATCTGCAAAACAAATGTAGCACATATCCATGTTAATGTTAACATAACTTCTTGTTTATTGTTGTTTTCAAGTGTAAATGAAGATAAACTTAACATTATAATAAAAATACATACTATATAGGCAAGGTTCTTGACATCTATTACAAATTTTTTTACTAAGTCGATCATACCAGGCTTTTAAATGTTTATTATAAATTATAGTGTTTACTTTGAGGGTAGTATAATTTTTTGTTTATAAGTTATATAGTTTTTATTATTTTTTTGATAATGCAATTATGGAAAAGTTACCGGAAATAAAGTCACCAGAGGGTTATACTCCTTCAGAAGATGAAGAATATATGAGCGTAAAACAACTGGAATACTTTAGCTTAAAGTTACAATCAATGCTCGCTGAGTTGGAGAAACAAGAACTAGAAGATAATAGTATTGATACATACTATTCTGATGGAGGTAGTGGAAATGAGGAATTAATCAAGCGCCGAAAAGATAGAAAAGAAAAGATTAAGGAGGCGTTAGAAAAAATAAAATTAGGCACTTATGGTTACTGCGATGGAACAGGAGAAGAAATAGGAGTTGAAAGACTTAAAGCTAATCCGCTTGCTATATATTGTATTGAAGAGCAAGAGAGAGTAGAAAAAGAAAAGAACGTGTACAACATTAACGATTAATTTACACATAAGTGGTGAGCTATTGGGCTTCAAGAGGAGCAAGAGGCAGATCAGGACTGAAGTATGTTATACTATAAAGAAAGTGGAAAAATTGGACATTCTCAACTCGACTCCTGCAGATTAAAAATTAAATTGAATTAAAAATTGGGTTTGACGCAGTTTTTTTCCATAGTTTAAGAAATTAAAAACTTAACGGTTAGAATTATAATTACAAACCACAGTAAAAAATAGACTTTTTCATTTGATTTATTTTTAACTTGGATGTTTTCTAATTTTTTATCAGCTATTAGGTTTAATTTTTCTATAAGGCTAAATATCCCTTGGATTGTTTTTACAGGATAAGAATTTCTAATTTTTTCCCTATGCCCTATTTTACTTTCATGTTGACTGCTTATCCACGCTTCAACTACTTTCCACATATTGATTTCTGGGTAGATCTTTCTACATGTCCCTTCCAGTAAAATCATATTTTTCTGCAGCAATAACAATTGTGTTTGAACTTTCATATCAAAATCACCAGTTATTTTTAATAGCTGAGCAAGTAAACTAGCAAATGAAATCTTCTGTATAGGCTGACCAATAATGGGTTCACCTATTGCCCTGCAAGCTGTGACAAAATTTTTATGCTGTGATGAAACGTAACCAGCTTTAAAGTGCATTTTTGCAACGTGGTCATAATCCCGATTTAAAAAGCCTTTGAGTATCTCTATAACGTAATAGCATGTCTCACGATCTATTCTACCCATGATTCCACAATCCAGGGCAATAATATTGTTATTACTATCAACCATTAGATTTCCAGGATGCATATCAGCATGAAAAAAACAATCCCTGTATACCTGACTACAAAACGATTCTATAAGATTGATAGCTATTTGCTTACGATTATTCAGTTTTTCAACTTCGTATATTGGTGTTGCTTCTATCCATTCTAATGTTAAAACCTTTTCTGCAGTTCTATTCCAATCTATTTCAGGTACATAAAAACCTATGTCATTTTTTGTATTTTTCTTTAGTTCTGAAGAGTAAGCAGCTTCAAAACGTAGATCTAACTCTAATCGGCAAATTTCAGCAAAAGTTTTGACTAATTCAATTGGCCTCAGCCTTTTTGATTGTTCGCTAAATTTTTCTGCAATTTCGGCGAGCCAAGAAAGCATTTTTATATCCCTTGAGAATGTTTTCTCAATATTTGGCCTTAAAACCTTCACAGCAACTTCCTTACCCTCAGTTGTAACCGCTCTATGCAACTGAGAAATCGATGCTGCTCCAATTGGCTTTTCAGAAAAGCTTGAAAAAATGTCGCTCAATTTACAATTAAACTCACTTTCTATAGTTTTAACTGCTATTTTATGTGAAAATGATGGCAATCTATCACATATCAATAACAAGTTTTTGTTATATCCTCATTTAAAACATCAGTACGTGATGAGATAGACTGCCCAAACTTAATGAACACCGGAACTAATTTTTCAAGAACACATTTAGCTTATGGCCTTGTATTTTATTTATTGATTTCTTTGATGGTGGAAGTAAATAAGGCAATATATTGTAACGTGTCAGCACTGTAGTTATGTGCAGAAGACGCAAAATATTTTGAATCATTTTGCTGCGTAACTGCTAAATATTTCATTCAGGGTTCTATTTTTCATAATCTCATCAGGCTTGCCTTGGCAATAGATAGTATTATTTATACAAATTACGTAATCTGAGGATGGTAGAGCAGAGTTAAGATCATGAGAAGTCATAACAATCGATACCAATCGTTTTTTTGCTATTTTATTTATAATATCATAAAATTTAGCCCGCTCGTTAATATCCATTGCACTGACTGGTTCATCTAGAATGATCAAGTCATGCTCTGCAATTAAACAACATGCAAGCAGTAGTAGTTGTGTTTGCCCTGCAGAAATTTCTAACACTTGATTCTTCAAAATGTTACCGATACCAACCAACTCTATCGCTTCTGTAATAATGGATTGATTTTTCTTTAGTCTTTTCAAGGAACTATTTAAAAGGAAATATTCAACTGTTATTGGCATCAAATTACTAATACTAAAATTTTGCGGCATATAGCCAATTTTTATGTTGTCAGCAAATACAATACTACCGGTACAGCTTTTATTTATGCCAGCAATTGCTTGCAGGTTAAAGAGGTTTTACCTCCACCATTTGGACCAAGTATTGTAATCACGTCTCCTCTTTCCAAGAACATGTTGATATTGTCAATGATTCTTTTACCATCGTACGTGAGAGCAAGATTTTCTATTTTTAGAACACGATTATTGACATTATTTAACTTTTTGGCAAAATTTAACTTCTTCTCAACGTTTATATTAGACATTTACTGCCTTTTTTCTATTACTTTCATTTACACTATACTATAATATTGCCTTTTCATACAATTTAAAAGTTGCAGCTACAATCAAACCTATCCACTCACTTGTAGCTTCTGCGACAGAAGGAATTTTAGAACCGGAATTGCTTGGCTATGCAACATCTGCGCATAATTATATATTAAAGCCTTCTGATGCGAGTAATTTGGAATCAAGTGATGTCGTATTTTACACTGACGATAACTTAGAGATGTTTGTTCAAACTTTCGCCAAAAATAATAAAGAACTAGTACAACTGTCAAAGGTAATCAACCTACTTCCTGCTCTGCCACATTCATTTTCTAGAAAAATTACCAATACTCAAGATGAAAAAGACCTATACATTTGGCTGAGTCCCGAAAATGCAAAGAGCGTGGTACTTTTTATAAGTGCAACATTGTCTAACATAGATAAAGAAAATTTCCATCGATATAACTCTAATGCAACAAAAGCTATAAAAAAATAGACCAAGAAGTAAAAGCAATCGTGAAAGAACTGAATGATTTTAAAAATCAAAAATATATCGTCACTCACGATGCTTATCAATATTTTGAAAAATATTTTGGTTTAAATCACCCAAGCGCCATTCTTTCTATAGAAGAGGATTCGTACATAGGTATGAAGAGTTTAATGAAGCTAAAAAAGATAATGAAGGAAGAAAACGTTAAATGTATATTTGCTCATTCACAAGAAGATAGCATAAAGCCTAATGCTCTTTCTAATGACGCAAAAATGGTAGTTCTTGATCCTATTGGATCAGATATAGAGCCTGGAAAAGATGCATATCTAGCTATAATCAATAGTATTGCACAAAATTTCAAATCTTGTTTTGTTGAGTAACAAGTTCTTTTTAAAATGCCTCTGACTTACTGTTTTCTTGTTCTACATTTAAATGAATAAATGATGTTGATTAATCAAAACAAAGATCTAGCTAACACGGCTAATCAGCTACATTCGATGCTTGCATGTTTTATGGTACTCTTTATAATCTTGCATATACTTGGCGCTTTGAAACACACATTTATAGATAAGCAAAACATTTTTAAACGTATGATGTAGTTATATGTTAAGTAGCCTCTGGAAAAAAGGAACAGATTTTTTTGGTAGTGAGTTTGCGATAATGGGTGGTGCTATGAGCTGGGTTTCAGAGAGAAACTTGGTTTCGTCAATCTCAAACGCTGGTGGTTTTGGTGTAATTGCATGTGGTGCAATGTTTCCAGAACCATTGAAAAAAGAAATCATAGAGACACAGAAATTAACTAACAAATCATTTTGTGTAAACCTAATTACTATGCATCCAAAGTTGAGTGAGTTGATAGATGTGTGCATTGAAACGAAAGTGGGCCATATAGTGCTTGCTGGCGGATTACCAACGAGGCCTAATATAGAAAAAATCAAGAGTGCCGGCATTAAAGTTATGTGCTTTGCACCAGCATTGAGCCTTGCGAAAAGGTTAGTAAAAATGGGAGTAGATGCGTTAATAATAGAGGGAATGGAGGCAGGCGGGCACATAGGGCCAGTTAGCATTTATGTTCTCGCACAAGAGATATTTCCTCATTTTAGAAATGAACAAATATCAGTACTCGTATTTGTTGCAGGTGGAATAGGAAGAGGTGATAGTTAATTACTTAGAAATGGGGGCAAGTGGCTGTCAAATAGGTACATTATTTGTCTGCACTAATGAGACAATTGCCCACAAATATTTTAAGAAAGTGTTTATTAAATCAGCCGCACGTAATGCAATACCTTCTGCACAGATAAGTGCTGATTTTCCTGTAATTCCAGTAAGAGCTATAGCCAACAAAGCAAGTGATGATTTTATGAAGCATCAAAAAAAAGTTATTGATGAAAACCAAAAGGGACAGATCTCAAAAGAAGATGGGCAGCTTGAAATAGAAAAGTTCTGGGCTGGAGCTTTAAGAAGAGCAGTAATTGACGGAGATGTTGAAACGGGATCTTTAATGGCCGGTCAAAGTGTTGGCATGGTTGATAGGGAAAAGCCTGTAAAAGAAGTGATAGACATATTAATTCAACAGTCAAATAATTATATTGACAGCAAATCTGTAGAAGTAGAAAACACATTGGTTAGCAAAGCAAATGGTGATTAAATTGCCATTAATTATCCATGATATGGCATAATTGCCCAGTTTTAATGTAAAATTAACGCTAAAGAGGTATCTGTACATTTTATTGTTTGTGGAGAAATGTTATGCCTGTTTTGCATAATAAAATAGAAAATTCTACTGAATCTTGGAATGACGCAGATTGGAATTTGTTCAACATTATAAGTAAAACAGTAAAAGAAGATCGAGAAGCTATACAAAAGACTGCCAGAGAATGCAAAAAGTTGTTTAAGGACGAAAAAGATCCTGCATCCTAATGTATTAATTCAATTAGAAGAAGTACTGATAGCACGACAAAATGAGGAGGATATTGCAAAACATATAAATATGTCCAAGCAAGGAAACAGTGCTAAAACACCAGATGAATTAAAAGAATCACTGAAAAACAAAAAGAAGATTATGAGTATTACATTCAACGATTTTCAATTCACAAAAACTCTCCGATCACACTCTTAATTTCATGGCTGTTAGACGGGAGATGAGGCTGCAATCATCAACAGATTTGACAGCCTACAGGCAACTAAACAGACAGATCTCCAAATGCATGCGGCGAGACTTACGCAACTTTAATACTGCTCGTATTAAAGAAGCGATCGAGCGGAACCAGGGCTCCAAAATCTTTGCCAGAGATCTGTCTGCCAGTAAGAGCCAACTGTCAAAGCTGAAGACTGAGTATGGTAGCATCGTTTCCGAGACACCTGAGATTTTAAGTGAGATTGAGAGGTTCTATGGGCAGCTGTACACATCATCGTTGGAGCCACACGCAAGTGTGAGTAACGATCCAAGAGCAAGTCTTACCCGACACTATACCGATGATATCCCCGACGTCAGTCTGAGCGAGATTAGAATGGCTCTCCAGCACCATAAAAACGGCAGGGCCCCAGGCGAGGATGGAATTATAGCGGAGCTTCTGAAAGCGGGTGGAACACCGGTACTTGAAGTCCTTCAGAAGCTCTTCAATTCCGTCCACCATGGTGACACTACTCCAGAGGCGTCGAGCAGAAGTGCGGTGGTCTTGTTCTTTAAGAAAGGCGACAACGCTCTCTTGAAGAACTACAGACCGATTTCCCTTCTGAGCCGTGTCTACGTGCTGTTTTCGAGAGTCATTACGAATCGTCTCGCACGCAGACTCGACGACTTCCAGCCTCCCGAACAAGCCGGTTTCCGAAAAGGTTTCAGTACCATACACCACATACATACCCTGCGGCAGATTGTACAGAAGTCCGAAGAGTACAATCTGCCACTTTGTCTGGCGTATGTGGACTATGAGAAAGCCTTTGATTCCGTCGAAATTTGGGCGGTGCAACAGTCTCTTCAGCGGTGCCTAGTTGACTGTCGGTATATCGAAGTGCTGAAGTGTCTGTACAGTAGGGCTACGATGGCTATCCGAGTACAGAACCGGAGTACGAAACCTATCCAACTGCAGAGAGGTGTAAGACAGGGTGAAGTTATATCCCCGAAACTCTTCACCGCTGCGTTGGAAGACGTTTTCAAGCTACTGGACTGGAAAGGATACGGTATTAACATCAATGGCGAGTAGAACACTCACCTTCGATTTGCCGACGATATAGTCCTTATGGCAGAATCGCTGGAGGACCTTAGCACTATGCTCAATGACCTCAATGGTGTCTCCCAACGGATAGGTCTTAAGATGAACATGGACAAATCAAAGATCATGTTTAATGTCCATGTCACACCTATGCCGGTAGTTGTTGGGAGCACTATGCTCGAAGTTGTTGACGAGTACGTTTACCTGGGACAAATAGTCCGACTAGGTAAGTCCAACTTCGACCGAGAGGTCAATCGACGGATTCAACTCGGCTGGGCATCGTTCGGGAAATTACGACACATCTTCTCGTCAGGTATACCTCAATCTCTGAAAACTAAAGTGTACAACCAGTGCGTGTTGCCAGTGATGACATACGGATCAGATACATGGTCCTTCACTGCTGGCCGTATGAGGACGCTCAAGGTCGCTCAGCGTGCTGTGGAGAGGGCTATGCTCGGATTTTCTCTGCGTGATAGACTCAGAAATGAGGATATCCGCAGTAAAACCAGAGTGACCGACATAGCCCAACGGATTAGTAAGCTGAAGTGGCAATGGGCCGGCAATATAGCTCGAAGAACTGATAACCGATGGGGAAGAAAGGTTCTCGAGTGGCAGCCTCGTACCGGTAGGCGTAGTGTAGGTCGACCCCCCACTAAATGGGGTGACGACCTAGTAAGACATGCAGGAAGTTGATGGATGCAGGTGGCTCAGGACCGTGCTTTGTGGCATTACTTGGGGGAGGCCTATGTTCAGCAGTGGACTTGTCAAGGGCTGTAATGATGATGGCGATGATGAAAATTTCCTTTAATCATTTAACATTTCGGTTCGTGTTACGCAACGAACAATCAATTACACATGATTTTAAATTAAACAAAGGTTCTTTCATCCATCGCTACATTCATATGACTTTCGAACATTCACACACTGTCTTAAGGTTCAGTGAGTAAGCATCTGCGGATGTTAACTATTGAAACTTGAGGAACAATGAAACAAGTGCTCCGATGGTGTTGTGAATCTCAAAACAGTGTGTATGCTTAGGTATCCTGAGCTATTGTTGTCATCGAATGTCTACTGGCTCAAGCTGCCGTCAAAATGTCCTAATATCTTCGCAATATGATGCATCAACGTATTGCTCGTAAAATGATGATCCCGAATAAAATGAAGACATGGCTTAAAAGACACGAATCCAAGCCAAAAATTATTATAAATAGAAAATAAATAAATGTAGGTAAATAGGATTCTCTGTCTACGAAATTTGTAACATATTTTTTATCCAGTTTCCAGTTGTCACTTGTCAAAAGCTTAAATGTCAATGTTTTACTTGCACTTGCATTGTTTGTGTTTCTGAATTTTCGCTATTATGGTATAAATTATTTATCTATAGATGTATTTATAAATTGTAAATATATTAATCTTGCAATATGGAGGTTGATAACGATAATACGGATATAACGGTTGAAACACTGCCATTGCTAGGAGTTTGCAACCTATGTTTGCACGATGGGGTTGTAAAAAGTATGCTAATAAAGTATGAACACGATGGAAATGCAGAAACTTATGTAGAAATGATATTGAAATGTTTCTCTTTAGATGTAAGTACTTTGTGGTTAGAAGTTTATTTATTTTACTATTTTAAACTATATGTTTGATATCTTTTTTTTTGTATCATGTATAATTAAACTGTCCGTTAATAAGGTAAATATCTTACTGATCCTACTAACTGTAAGTTTAACTAATATTTTCCAAGAGTATATAATTTTTTTATTATAATTTATTTTTTATTTTTAATATGATTTGTGTTACAACATTTACAATTATTTTTCTTTTAAATTAATTAAAATTTAACTTTAAATGAACACAGTAGTTATTTGTTTAGTGCGTTGGGGTAATACCGGACGATTTTAGACTAGTTAAAAGAGTCCGGCAAAAACTTTATTTTCTTGACATCCATATACTTCAGATTTCTGAAACATGGCACAAATTGTTAATGGTTACACGTAATTTAGCTATAAGAAGCTTTTACTTTTCAAAACTCAACAGTTTCTGCTTAAAACGTGTGCGAAGACAAGGCGTAATTTTTTATATGAATGATGAAGAATTGGCCATCAAGGGGAAGACCAGACGTTTTTAAAAATCGCAAATAAAAGTGATAGGGAAAGACCGGACGGACGAAAAAAATACAAAAATTACCTTGTTTTATAAAATACTGCACAGCACACGCGCTACTTTTCGGAGCGACTGCCTGAAACTTGGGGTCGGGGCAGAATAAAATGGAGTCTTGTACTATATTGCTAGCTTTCAAAAATATAGCATAATTCACCGGAAATTTGAATTTTACGGTCTTACCCCATCACTGATCTTACCCCAATGCACTATACCTTAAAGTAAAACATCATACCATATCTCACCATATGAAACACCTGTCATACCGCAGTTGAGTCAACGTGTTTGTCCTGCAGGCATAATGTAATAATATTAATAAAGCCTTTATTTTCCGAAATATTTTACATTATTAAACTAAGTTAAAGTTAACCTAAACTAAAAAAAGAATTTAAAAAGAAAGTACATCATTATATTGCAAAATATCTCTTATTACGGTGTGTCTTTTGACAAAGGCCTCCTCCAACTCTTTCCACTGTTTTCTGTCTGCCGCTACTCTTATCCATAGGGGTCATAAGGTCAATTTTAAATCATCCTCCCATCTTCTTGCTTTACAACCTCGGCTCTTAGTGCTGTCTCTTGGGTACCAAACTGTCAACTGTTTGCTCCACTTTTCCTTTTTGCAGCAAAGCATATGTCCAGTCCATCTCCATTTAAGTTGATCAATATGTGACAGTATATCTGTTAATTTCGTTTTGCGCCTAATGTCTATACTACTCACTTTGTCCATTAGTTTCTATCCTAACATGCTTCTTTCCATGCTTCTCTGACATCTTACTAGTTTGTCCCTTTGGTATTTTGTTAAAGCCCAGGTTTCGCAGCCATATGTAATGCAGGGTAGGATGCAGGTATCAAAAATCTTTTTCTTGCTTGCTTTGCTTTTCATGATTTCTTTCAAGGCCCAATACTTCTTCCACCCAGTCACAATTCTTTTGTCTATTTCTTTGGACATTTGGTCATTAGACAATATTATCTGCCCTAGGTACACATATTCCTCTACATATTCAAGTTTCTTTGTGTTTTTTTTTTTTTTTTTCCTGGGGGTTTGGGGGTGCTTGCCTTGTCTTATTAACTTCTCCTGTTGATTCTAGCCTGATTCTGGCTTTACTTTCACTGTAAATATTTTTGATGATATTAACATAGGCAGTTTGGATCCCCTGTTCTTTTAGACTCTGCCACACTGACTCGTGTTTAAGGCTATCGAAAGCTTTGGCATAATCTATAAAGGCCAAGTAAGTGGTTTTATTGTATTCATTGTATTTATTTATGAGCTGTG